TGCGTGTAATGCAGAGTGTTGCAGTTGGCGTTTTTGCTAGGCGTTGCCATTTATTTACGTATTAAGATATGATAAACTCAAAATACAACAGTAGTGATGTATCAAAATTCCAATTTTATCGTGATACAGTTTGCCAACTGCACATTACATACGTACGTACCCGAAGTTACATAAATAGACATATTTAGTAAATGTTATTAATGGATGATCGATATTATATGTAGGATCGCAGTCCTTAGAGCCTTATTATAATACTTGATTATGATCAAATAACGAACTATTTTCTCGAGATGAATAAAACTCACGATTTTTTTTTAAGAAGTATGACATATTTGTACCTTTTGTAACTTCGACGAAATATATTAATATATTTTATTTATTAGTTGGTGTGGATGGTGAAAAACGCGTTGGAAAATCTCAACTTATCAACAAATTTGCAAATGATGATTTTAATAATGGAGTATATAAAGAGACTTTGCGTGCGTATGCCACAACCACGCACATTCAGTTAGATAATTACACTATTAAAGTAGAATTTTTGGAAACTGGTATTAACAATGTTATCCTTATAATCAATATTTACTATTACTGTATTAGTTGGATTTGTGTCTTAGACGTTAGAATCACTTTTATGCCTTAATGGCATTTGGAATTTTTCAAAAATTAATGCTGAAATTTTTATTCGTACTTTAAGATCTATAATTGTGATTTGATCGTCGACCTTAATGAACTCTTTTCAAATCCCAACATCAAACCTAAGGCTCGAATCTTCAGAATCTATGGCAACATAATTCAACTATCAAGTACTTTAACAATTCCACCTTTGAATGGCAGTGGTGTTATTTTGATAGCAGCAAGACGAATTGAAGTTAAACCAGGATGTCAAATAATTGTTAATTACAAGAAATCTTTTCGAATTATAATATACGCCAAAGAAATGACTTCAGAACTTGAAGTTATAGCAATAAATCAACTAAAAAATGAATCAAATTTATTAAAATTCGATGTCAATATTTCAAAAGATAATAAAACTGTTGGCAAATCACTTACTATACGTGATGACAAGAGCCTTGAAAATAAGGATTTATACATCTTTGATAATATTATTCTTAAAAATCATTTATTCCTTAAAATATTACGATACTCTTTATTTATTGCCAGTATCCTATTTTATGATGAACCCGAAATTACACGATCAATTCTCTCTTGGATATGCAAAATAACTGAATCACAATCTAGCGAACTATATCATCATGCACTTTCGATGCTTGTACAATTAGATATCTCCGAAGAAAGAAGAAAAAATGAAATTTCATTTATTCCATTATTGGATAAAGAATTTTATAAGAAAGGAATCGATGAATTTATGAATTCAGTAGAATATTATGAAACTAAATATATGCAATTTTTAAATAAAAGGGATGCTGTTACTCAAGAAAAAACTGAATCCAAAGTTTCATTAGAAAATTATAATGATAAAACCGCTTTGAACACTCACTTAGAAGATATTGAATACAAACGTTATGATTCAGCATCTAAATTAATGAAAAAAATAGAAGATGAACTAAAGGTATGATCAAAACTATAAATTTACTGT